ACGCTGCCCTGGGGGTACGGAGTCTGCGTTGAGTAGACGTCGAGGCCCTCTTAGACTTTGGCTGCGATGACGGGATGTCTGGGGAGGCAGGACGCTTCTTGGAGACGGCGGACTGCATCCCACGCCCCTCCTCCGAGGGACGCTCTAGCGGAACACCAGACGGGAGGGGGTCGACCAACAGCAGCTGACTGGATGGGGATTCCGATGTATCGGCCATGTCTAACCCTTGTTTGCGTGACCTATCTGCAGCACGTCTCAAGACGCAAAGATGATATTTATTAAAAGCAGAATTAGATAGATTAATGCAGTAACTGCAACGTGAATCAAACGCACAAGGCGTAGAACAACTAGGGCATATTACATGCGGGTCAGCAGCAGAAAAAACGTAATCTACAAATAGTACAGATTTTCATCAACGTAATACTAGCTGAACAATCACGAACTCACGTGAATAAACAGTAGAAATACGATTAATTATCAATACATATTAATGAAGGATACTAGCTATACCTCTATAGTAACCTATAGGAGCTAACTTACTAAGAAAAACCAAAGGATATAGTGTGTAAGGAGACACAGGCGCTCTCAAATCCTGCTCACTGGGCGAAGAAGGAGAGAGTGAAGCATGAGGCCAGAGGGTGGCGCCACCTTTTCCCGCACAGAGGCAAAGGGAGGCAACTCTTGGTGAGTACTAATTAGTGATTTTACATTGAAGGGAGCTTCAATTAAGGAGATACAAGTGTTCCACTATGTTCGCAAGAGGAAGAAGACAAGCAAAAGAGCATGAGTCAGGATAAGGAAAAATACACAGCTTTTTCAGCAGCACATGGACTCAGTGAAGTCCCTTGTTCATGAGTCGGTTGGAGGTCTCCGGCAGGAGTTCCTCGCCCACTCTGAGCAGGGGACGGAGAGTCCGGGGGTGGGATCGCCGAGCCCGGCTCGATCCCTTAGACTAGAGGCATCCCTTAGACTCTGGCTTCGAGTCCGGACGCTTCGGCTACCCCGGAGGGGGAGGGTTCGCTCCCAGTCCCCCTCTCGGTGTTGGCACAGGGTCCGTTGAGGATTCCTGGGGTTCCGGTTCCTGCGCCGTCCCGCCCCATGAGAGCGGAGGTCCCAGTTCTGTCTGGTATTCCTCCCGCGTCTCGGGACCGGGGTTCGAGTCTGGTGTCGGGTGCCTTCGGCTCTTCCCTTCCCTCTGTGTCTGGTGCTAGGCCTCCCACCGGGTCGGGGTTTGGGTCCTCTTCGCGAGGAGACCCAGCCTCTGACTCGGGCTCAGGTGCCGAGTCCATGGACGTTGGGGAGGTAGAGGAGCCGGAGGGCGCTTTCCGTTTCTCGACGGCTCTGCGGGAAGTACGGCAACGCATTGCTGAGTTTATCCCCCAGGCCGCGGTGCCTACCAGCCGCTGGGTCTCGGCTGAGTTCCGCCTGCCAGACACTGCTCCGCATCTTGCCGTCCCTGGTGCAGGACGTGGTTGATCCTCTCCTGGTTGGGACACGCCTCCGGTTTGACTTGCCTGAGCTTGTACCAGCTGGGGGGCGATTCCCTGTTTGTGCCAGTGGTCGATGAGTGTGTGTTTACTTCGGTAGCCCTCGGCTCGGCTTCCTCCGGTGCAGCCCCGGCTGCCAGGCAAGGGCGTTTAGTGCCACTGTTTGCCCTCGCGGGCGACCCCCTGCAACAGGCTTACCAGACCTACGAGGAGGTATACCGGAATGCCATGCAGCAGGTGCGGGTGGTCATCCACGAGGCCTACCTCTCCTCGATTCAGAGGTCGGCCCTGGAGGCTGAGGGGAACGCTGGGGACTTCTCCCCGCATGTCGTTCTCTTACGCCAACTATCCGAAGTTCAGGCCCACCTAGCGCGCGACTCCTTGAGGTCAGCGGCGTCTACGGTGATGTGCGCAGTCATGGGGATGCGCAAGCTGTGGCTGTCGACGTCTCGCTACTCGGCAGCTACACAGCAGACCTTGCTGGCCCTTCCCTTCCGTCTGGGAGCGACATTGTTTCCTGGGTCCCAGCAGGTCATACGGGAGGCTGCCAGGCAGCTACCTCCTTCAAGGATTCTAAGGCCTTGTTGGAGCACCCGCGGGCTTCTCGCCCCTGCGCTCCCGTTCCGGCTTCCTCCTCCGGGGTGCAGCCTACACCTGAGTCTGCCGGCTGGCTTTGGCTGCTGGGCAGGGGTAGGCGGAGGAGCCGTCCCGCCAAGGTTAAGGGCCAGGAGCAGTCTTCTTCGGCTGGCTCCCAGCCTTTTCGCGGGCGCGGGAGGTCTGCCCCGACCTCCCGTTAACCCAACAGGCTGTCGCCGTGGGTCCGTCCCAGTCAGCTCAGCTACTCGGGACCACTCACGCTCTCTTGCCATACGTCCCAGTTGGGGGCCGCCTCTCTCTATTCCTGCCGGAGTGGGAGAAGGCTACCAGCAACACTTGGGTGCTTTCCACCGTCAGTGTCGGCCATCTACCACTGTGGAAGCGAGGCCCGCCAGAATTCACCGGCATACGTCGCACTCCGGTGCCGTCATGTCAGGTCAGGGCGGGTATACTGCGAGACGAAGTTCAGGCTTTGCTGGACAAGTCCACTATAGAGCGCATACCACCAGGCGGGGAACAGGCGGGATTTTATTCCAATTCTGGCTTCGAGGCGGGATTCGACAAACGTTCAGTATGAGGATAGGTGGTCCTGCTATGTGGGTTGGTGTTCAGATAGGGGGATTGCAGATCCCTTTTCTGAAGATTTAGTCCGAGTATTGGAGTTTTTGCAAGCGTGTTTGGAAGAGGGCCTGGCGGCTTCGACCATTCGTGGCTACTCCACCGCTATTTCCACTTTTCACACCCCTGTCGATGGTGCTCTTCTGGGGCAGCACCCTCTCGTACAGCGCTTTTTAGCTGGCGCGGATCCGGTTCGACCTGCTGTCAGGTGAACCAGCACACCTTGGGATTTGTCAATTGTGCTAGATTGGCTGTCCGCTCCTACGTTCTCACATCTATCGGCTATTTCCATTCAGTTGTTACCATGGAAGGCTGTATTTCTGGTGGCGGTAACATCTGGGCGTAGGGTTGGTGACTTACATGCTATGTCGTCAGACCCGGCGCTGACTGTGTTCCATTCAGATCGTGTCAGTATTCGCCTCCCGGATACTTACCGCCCGAAGGTCGATCACGCTTTCCATGTGACAGCTCCTATCGAACTTCCTATCTTACCCAGCCTTCCACATCGGAGACCTCTCCTACGAGCACTTACCCGTTGGATGTCCGAAAGACTCTCAAGGTCTATATCAAACAAACACAAGGGATCCGTACGGGTACCCATCTGTTCTGCTGTTACGGTGGTGGGAAGGCTGGGGTGCCGGCGAGCAAACAGACCCTGTATCGGTCATTTGTGCTGCCTATCAGGCTAAGGGCAAGCCTCCCCCTGAGGGGTTGAAGGCTCACTCGGTCAGGGCAGTAGCCACGTCAAAAGCTTTTGCATCGGCACTACCCATTGAAGAGATATGCTCTGCCGCTATTTGGAGCCGGCCTAGCACTTTTATCAGGCACTATCTGCTCGATACACATTCACATGATCGTGCGCGCTTTGGCCGTTCTGTTCTCTCCAGTGGACAGTGTCCTGCCACCCTGACCGAGTGAGTCTTGCTTATCTGGTTTAGTTGACGCTGCTTTCAATTGTGTTTTATTGATATGTCCGCTGCTGTGTGAATTACCTCCTTTCGATTCTCTACGGAGATTATGGTCGGTAGTGAGTGTTTTTTCCCCCCTACGGTGCTCTCTAATAGACCATGAGGTGGGTGGGTAAGTTTTATTTTGACCGTATGCGATCTCATTATACTTAACCTACGAGGTCGACTCTCAGTACCTTTCCTCCCTGTCAGTTACCCTCCCATCATGCCTCTCGCGGAAGCTCCGGGACACATGACAGGTGAGTGATTGTGGCGTCTGTTACATTATTCTTAACGATCGCTATTTATGTGTACTTTGACAGAATTCCCTCCTCCCTGGCCTCCGGTCTTTGGGAGTCTGAGTTAATGCATATATGTACCCCAAGGACGATCTCTATGAAAAAGAATTAACCAAACCTGTAGAGGTTTTCAATTCTTTGAAGAGAGTCGCCCTGGGGTAGGGCCTCCCGTCTCCTCGCAATTCTGTTCACTGATATATTCAGCAGAAGGAATGATGATACGGGCCTAGGTGCTTACCTGGTTGGCTGCGCATGTGTAGCAGGAGGTAACTCCACGAGGTGGGGGCCGTATAATAGATAAAAAAGATTTTATTTATTGTACAATATTCTTATTAAAACATTGATACAACTGTCACAGGACATTTTCAGCGCAGAAAATGCATATATGTACCCCAAGGACGACTCTCTTCAAAGAATTGAAAACCTCTACAGGTTTGGTTAAGTTTTCCTGTCTATTTTTGCCCATCTTTTTACGTTGTAAGGCCAGTAAATAATTGGTAAATTCCAATCCCCTAAGTGGGCACAGAACTTACACCTAAAGTTTAAATTGCAATTATGTTTAACACAAGAAAAGCACACAGGGTGCGGGACATGAACAGAGACTCTATATTAACAAATAGAGCATGTTTTTATAAACCCAACAACACTCTCACAAAATCCCAAAAATAGAATTAATTAACAATATATTTTGAAAAATAACCCATGGTTATGACGTAAAAAGGATATATGATGAAAAACCAAGCATAAATTTTGATGGATGGGTTGAAATAGAAGGGGATTAGCTTGGATTGTGAACAGAGAGAATCCTCCCAACTGTCCTGTAGGGCGAAAATGGAGAGAGTGATGAGCCACGGTTGGTCATGTGGGTTGCTGGTGCGCATGCACAAAGAGAAGCCCATTTGGGGTGAGCTATTTTTAACTGTTCTTGGGAACATAAGACAAAGGTTTCCACTGAACCTCAGGAGAAAAGGGAGATAAGTGATTAGAATGAATCAGGATAAGGTAGAATTTTATGTTTTGTTATCTTCAGAACAGATCAAGTTTGCACCTACCTCATCGGATCTGAAAGCCTGTTTGAGGTGTGTGTATTTAAGGAAGCGAGAGATGGGCAGGACATTGGAACCAGTGTACATGAGTATGAAGAAGAAGACTCCAGTAAGGTAAAGTCTGGAGATATTTGGGTTGTCCTGCATGATCTCGAACAGAAGTGTTGCCACCTTCTCCACCAACACAGGATCAAACGTCAGAAGGAGCTGAAAAACAAAGAAAACATACACCGATCCAAAACCAGGAAAGCACATACAAAAAGACATAACAGCAGCAAGCTGACATACATGTATTTATCAGTAACATTCAAGTTCAAAGGAAACAGAATGTACTTTAGTTGCATGACAAATTGTCTATGACTAGTCAAAAGGAGGCACTAACATAAAGTCAAAGAAAATATACAAGTCAGATGAAAACCTCTTGAACACATTCAGCTATCATCATCGGTGGGACAAGCATGCAAAAATAGCAACTTTCACAGGTCAACTTGTTGCCGAAAAAAAAAGTGGTCACAGATCAATGGACCATGGCTGAAGGTTACCTGACACATGCAGTTGAGTGAGAACCTTAACAAATTACCTTTCATGTTATCTGCACATCAAACAAGGTTTCAACTTCATGCCCATACTTTCAGAACTATCTATTACAATACAGCAGGAACTAATGGTCCAAACTGTAGAGTGCAGTTTAATTTGTCAATCAAATTATATCATCAACAAAAACCATGTAAATATCAGCAAAATTGATTCTGAGAACAAATATAACCATGCAATAATATCCATCAAAACATAGAGATGCACGGCAAGAAGTACCACTGGCATGTTAAGTGTTGGCATAAACACTGCTAAACAGTTCAGTGATCATTGCCATTGTTTGTTACTACTGTACATTGTAAAACCTTGGAGTGATGAAGCAAGTTTATCTCAAGGACATTTTACAGGGTTGTGTTGTACCTCTCCTCATAGTTTGCTGCATTAGATAACGTTGTTTTTCAGAAATGCTGGGATCATAATGTTGATAATGTTGGCAGTGACAGTAACAGTTTTCAAGCTTTGTCCCAGAAACAACAGTACTGTCATTGGCTATAAAATTGTCACACAAAATACAATTTCAAAAACTTGTAAAACAGAAAGAGGCACCACTTTAGCTGATGATCAATGTAGATAAGTTTCGGTACAGACAACACGATCAACAAAAACAACTTAAAAGTTGTACATGGCTTTGGATTTTGACAAGCTAGTTAAGTCTTGTCACTAGGGCTGGGATAGATCCAAATTTTCTACCCGGGGACCCTACCCCCTATTACCCTACCCTACCCTATTACCCGTTATGCTAATTCCTGACATCAACTTTGTAAGAAATGGCAATATATTATTCAGCTCGGAGGCTAAAATTTCAAGTTTTTCAAAATCTTAACCATGTATTATATTCAAAAGAAGTGACTGTAAATTATGTCTAAATCTTCAAAGTCTGCTAAGACAGACAACTTTTAATCATGAAAGAATAACATATTACATTGTTTAATCTATGAGTCACATGATCATAACGGGTTCGGGTATTGAGACGGGTACCCGGGTCCAACTCAATAACCACCCGTCCTGGGTATTCAGGTTACCTGTCCCAGCCCTACTTGTCAAGTGACCTTAGATTCAAAATAAATTCAAAGAAACAGATCATACTATACCTGTACAATATGTGGGAGACAGGTTGCTTCAGAAAGAATCCTCTTGACTCTTGGAAGTGGACGAACAATAGCACCATCACAATCTCTGAAATTGTAGTCACACTTAAGTAATATGCAGCATAGTAATTATCTGCAAAAATCTGGGACACATTGGGGAGTATTCTGCACTGCTTTTATGTGGCCGAGTTGATTTTATTACTGTTTGTAAATATTTTAGGAACATCTCTTAATTTGTCTACTTTGTGACTCAGCAAGCGGCTGTTTCAAACCATATCACTTGAGCAGGATACAGAAAGTAACAACAGATTTACCCCTGCACCTGTATAATTACTTACTTCACAATAGCCACTTTCACTCTAATGACAAGCGTATTGATTTGTCTGCCTTATCATGTAAGTCCATTTTCCTACAGTTCAACCTTGTTTCATCAAGCTGTTGGTCAGATACTACCTTTCTTACAAGTCCACTTTCATATATCCTTTGATCAGCAAATATACCATTCAAAAATAGTAGTGGATATTACATTTTGCAAGCATACCACTAGCCAATGCCAATGCATATGACAAAAAGTAATATATATCCGTACAGATGAAACATTTCCAAAAGGAATGGAATAAATTGTCATATTTTCCCTTAATTTATCTTCATCATCTGTTTCCTCCTTGGCTTCACCATTTGCATTTTATCAATCTTCTAAATCCAATATCCCCTACTTTTTTGAATGGTATAATTGTGCATTTCTCAGGGACCAAATGGCTGAGGATTTCATTCTATAATATACAGTGAAACCTGGCAACACCAGCACCTGTCTAATCCGGCACACTGTCAAAACTGGCATTGGTCCCGCCATTTTACAACGATATTATGATAATCAAAACATTGTCTAATCCGGCACCTGTTTATTCCGTATTCCGGCACGACTTTCCGGTCCCAACAAGCAATTGTAACTGTAATTAACACTGTCTAAACTGGCATGGGTTTGAACAGTCCAATCAAGGACCCATAATCCAATACATTAATTAATCCTCTTGGGACGCTAGATAATCAGGAAGTAGTGCTGTGAATCAAACGCTCGTAGGATTACCGCGGTTATGCTTTATAAACACTGGGGGATTGCATTAACTGTTTTCAAATGAGTGACGTGTCAGAGAGTAAATAAATAGGCATTGGTTTTATTGACTCGTGAGTCACTTTGAGTGTCATGATGGCTAAGCGGGCACGTTTGGAGTTAACACATGTTAAAAAACTTCAGCTTATCAATAACTTTGATACTCTTCATCGGCCCTCTAAGAAAGTACTTGCAGTTAAATATCAAATTGGCAGGGAAACTGTTTCGGACATTTTGAAAAAGCGTGTAAATCATCACTGTCAAATCCAGCACCCTGTCTAAACCGGCATTTTATTTTGGTCCCGTGGGGTGCCGGTTTAGACAGGTTTCACTGTAGGAAAATGGTGTTTGTACCTATACCGAAACGTCGCACTCATTGTAATAAACATGTTGACTATCCATAGAACTTGGTTTTCCTTCATCTATACTAAAATGCCTCTCAAACAGGTTTCACGGTATATACTCATGGAAAAGAATAAAGGAACACTCGTACTCTACGGTTGCAGCTTGGTTTCGTAATTAGACTGTTGGTAAAAACAGTAATCACTCTGGATGAGTGCCCCTTTAAGAATGTCTCCTTGTTACTAGAGAGTTCTGAAGATGTGCCATACACAGATGTGACAGATGGACCTAGCTTCAATGTGGCTGAAGCAGTTGGTCAGGTGTCAAGGGTAGATAATGAAGTCATATGAGAACAGTGAACCAACATTTCATTGGCCAAATGGACATGTCCAAAAGAAAGTAGGTAGAAGTTGTTGGTGCCTACTATCTTTTGCAAGAAGAAGGCTTGTCGGCAGATACAGTCAGACTACTGCCCAGGACTTCAAGTTGTTGAATCACAGCTTCTGTTTTTCTGCCAATCAGCACCCTGTGATTTGGCCCGGAGTTAAAACATAACAGCTATTGGTGCTATACGAGGCAGGATTGCACAAAAGATCATGAAATAAGTTTTGGGAATACCAACCTGCTAGGGTAGTAGGCAGCCATTTTGATCAACATGTTGAGTATGAGAGTGGCAAGGTCACTTTCATTCATGACAGCTTGACCAGATGCCAGCAATGTCCACTTTAGCTGTGACACTGATTGCAATGGTCGCCATCCATCCATTCCTTGTGCCCAGCAGCGTGTCTTGGCATGAATAGTTCCTTCAGCCCAAAACTGTTTCATCTGAAGAAGAGGTAAAAGTTTGCACTTTCATTAATTCAATATCTGTCAAATGCCACTAACGTGTTAAGTTCATAGGCAAGAAATCGATACATTTTGGGTATGTGCTCAGTTTTGTCTTATGAAATATTGTGTCATCTTTAAACATTCCTCTCAATAACTAATTTAGTTCCCCTTACTGAAAGATGCAGCCATTGTCATAAAGTGTCTGATTAATGAAGGCCCTCCAAAATAGTTTCACATAAGGAATTAACATGCATACTCAGGAAATGATGAGTTTTGGAACAGCTGTCTGTTCCATTTCAACAGCAAATAATGGTCCAAAAATGTAATTTTTCAAGTAAAATTGATATTATTATACTTATCCTGACTCATTATCTTTTGCTTATCTCCCTTTCCTTTGCGTAATGGTAGTGGAACACTTGAATCCCTTGAAGTTCCCGAAGCGGACGTAAAAATACACTCACCCACAAGTTACCTCCCTTTTGCCCTTTCCCACGCAAACAGTCATGTGACCAGCCTTACTTGTCTCTCTCTCCTGATTTTTCTGCCCATGCACTTGGATGTGCTGTGAAATCCGAAGTGTTTCCAGCAGGGAAGATGGGGGGGCTTATCGCCATGAGTCAGAATAAGTATAAAAATATCCATTTTATTTGAAAAATTACATATTTTTTCTTGTCCTGACTCATGATCTTTTGCTTATAGAATCCTGCGGATTGGTGGTGGGTCAGGTCACTTCCTGGATTCATCAGCTGTCCTTTAGATACGTCCTGTATCCCCCCCAATGGGAACTGCGTAGCGGCATTTCCGAGATCCTATTCTTCCAACTTCCGTTATAACTCGGGGGGACCACTTCTTGTCTTACTTCCATCTCAGACAAGTTGAATCATCTTGATTCATGTGGCTTCAGATAAACTATATATCTTCAGGGCTCTGACCGGACACAAGGATACGTCCTCTATATCCTCTGGTCCAAGGATTGTAGACAGCGCTGGTACGCGGAACTGTCTATCTGGCTGACCAGGTAGTTGGTTCTTGGCAATGAAGTCCCATCTAAGTCCTAGATGAACTGCAGCATGTTGCCCCGTGTCGAATCTGGTTTGACCAAAGTCCAGCGCATGTATCTCCGATATTCGAGCTGCCGTGGCTAGCGCAAGCAGGAACAGAGTCTTCTATGTCAGCAGCTCGAAGGTAGTCTGATCTAGAGGTTCGTAGGCATCACTTCTAAGATGACGTAGAATTACATTTAGATCCCAGGCCAGAGCTCTGAACTTCTTTTGCTGGTCCTCCAGTTTAAAAGATCTCAGCAGAGCAAGTAATTCTGGTACTTTTGTCAACTTGATGCCTGTTTTCATGGTAATCACTGTACTGATGGCAGCGAGGTATGTAGATAATGTCGAACCTTTCAGATGTCTAGTCTGTCTAAGATGACACAGGTATTCCACCACTTGAGGATGAGTAGCTCTCATAGCAATGATGCCTTTCCGCCTTGCATAAGTCTCAAACTTCAGCCACTTGTCATCATACAGGTAATGAGTAGATCTGCGTAACGCTAGTGTTACTGCCTTGGCTGCCCTGGCGGAGTATCCTCTTTTCTTCAAACATGTTTTGATACGGTCCACACGTGTAGCTGGAACAGTGTTGGGTTACCGTGGACTTGCTTGGTGTGCGGATGTATGAGTAGGTTCGGCCAATCTGGTAACTTGATTGTTGGACTTCCGAGATCTTCTATTAGGTCTAGGAACCATACTCTCGCTGGCCAGTATGTCGCGACCAAGGTCAGTTGTAGCGCCTGTGTCTGTTTGATGTTCAACAGTACTTTCGGTAGTAATATCAGTGGTGGAAATGCATAAGCGTTTAGTCCTTCCCATGATTTGTTCAGTGCATCTGTTGCCCAGGTTTGAGGATCTGGAACTGGTGAGACAAACGTCTGTAGTTGTTTGTTGAACCTCGTGGCAAACAGGTCTATGCAAGGGGATCCTATTTCCCTCAACTAAGAGAAAATGACCTGTCTTCACATATGCGAGCGAAGCGATCAAAGGTTGGCAACGTGCTTCCCTCGCTTCGGTTCGATAAATATTTTGAATGTCAAAATAAAATATCGCCATCATCAAAGGTAGACACCAATGTTGAATTAAATATATTGTATGTGAGTAATTATTAAATATGAGGTTGGAAATCCGAGAGCACAACTCTGTGAGGACATGGGTGTCTACCTTTGATGATGGCGATATTTTATTTTGACATTCAAAATATTTTTCGAACCAAAGCGAGGGAAGCACGTTGCCAACCTTTGCTCGCATATGTGAAGACAGGTCATTTTCTCTTTGTTGCGCAACCCTATTTGCGCTACAATTTGCCTGTGAGTAGTCGTGGAAGTCAATTGCGGTGCCGATCTCAAAGGTACTTCGGGTAGAAGTAACGGGGGATCATCAAAAACGTCTACTTCATGTGGAGGTAGTATCTCTTCGTTGAAGAATTTCTGATGCGTTGACTTACTAGGCTGCGTAGATTTACCCTCCGATCTGGTAACAGATGCTTTCTGTTGCGACGTAGAAGAAGATGATGTCTCTTTCTTGGCTTGAGTCGGAGTCAACTGCGTTGTAGCCGATTTCTTCTTGGCCCCTGTACCAGCAGACCTTCCTTTCAACGTACTTAACATAGCACCAGTATTATGAATCTCCGCAGTAGCAATCAACATACGGTTTGCCGGCTGATCTCCTGTTTTATCAGCCGTGACTTGTGATGACTTCCTCACCCAATCCATGGCACGTCTAGAGATATAAGACAAATATTGTTTAAATTGTAGATTTGATAAATCAACACAATAAGTACAGCGCAAGCTGGAAAACATGGTTTTATGCACGAAGGGCATTGGGGGTGAGGATCAGCCATGGATAACCTGTGCCTGTAAACACTGCAAGATTTCATGAGTTACATAACGATGAAATTATGACACAAATACAAATAATTTTTACAAAATCTTTACATATACATAGTAGTTATTGCCAAATCCATACACAGCGTAATTTTGAAGAATAGGACCTAAATAAAAGGATATAATGCTGTATACAGGACTCCAGTGCTCGCCCATCTGCTTGGGCGAAAAGGGAGAGAGTGACAAGTAAGGCTGGTCACATGACTATTTGCGCGGGAAAGGGCAAAGGGAGGTAACTCGTGGGTGAGTGTATTTTTACGTCCGCTTCGGGAACTTCAAGGGATTCAAGTGTTCAACTACCATTCACAAGGGAAAGGGAGATAAGCAAAAGATCATGAGTCAGGATAAGAAAACATTCATATTTCTGGCTTCAGCGCTTTCTCCACAAAGTGCAAAGGTAGTCATAATATTCAAATTCGTAACATATATATAAAAGGTGATGCAACAAATAAATAATGAATCTTAGTCATTTACACAGGGGACGCCACCATTTGTTATCATAGATAAGTCGATCTCATAGATAAGCAGAGGTCCTAACTTGACCCTTAAAATCAGTGTCAGAATGGTATGTTCCATAGATAAGCCGAACCATCAACCTTCACTCATCTTTTCATCATGATCAGTCATCCAAAATAGAGTATGAAAAAATCCCATATTGAATTACACAAGTTAATCCTGTTGTTTACTCTATTTCATAATGAAACATGTTCTTTGCATATCTGGATCTGGGTAAATAATGAATGTTAGTCATTTACACAGGGGTTGCCACAAGTAAACACTGAATCCATGATTTACACAGGGGTTGCCACAATTTAATACTGAATCCATGATATTTACACAGGGGTTGCCAAAATTAAATACTAAATCCATGATATTTACACAGGAGATGCCACAAGTAAATGCTGAATCTATGATATTTACACAGGGGATGCCACAAGTAAATACTGAATCGATGATATTTACACAGGGGTTGCCACAAGTAAATACTGAATCCATGATATTTACACAGGATTTGCCACAAGTAAATACTGAATCCATGATATTTACACAGGGGATGCCACAAGTAAACACTGAATCCATGATATTTACACAGGGGTTGCCACAAGTAAATACTGAATGCATGATATTTACACAGGGGATGCCACAAGTAAATACTGAATCCATGATATTTACACAGGGGATGCCACAAGTAAATACTGAATCCATGATATTTACACAGGGGATGCCACAAGTAAATACTGAATCCATGATATTTACACAGGAGACTCCACAAGTATATACTGAATCCATGATATTTACACAGGGGTTGCCACAAGTAAATACTGAATCCATGATATTTACACAGGATTTGCCACAAGTAAACACTGAATCCATGATATTTACACAGGGGATGCCACAAGTAAATACTGAATGCATGATATTTACACAGGGGTTGCCACAAGTAAATACTGAATCCATGATATTTACACAGGGGATGCCACAAGTAAATACTGAATCCATGATATTTACACAGGGGATGCCACAAGTAAATACTGAATCCATGATATTTACACAGGAGACTCCACAAGTATATACTGAATCCATGATATTTACACAGGGGTTGCCACAAGTAAATACTGAATCCATGATATTTACACAGGAGTTGCCACAAGTAAATACTGAATCCATGATATTTACACAGGGGATGCCACAAGTAAATACTGAATCCATGATATTTACACAGGAGATGCCACAAGTAAATACTGAATCCATGATATTTACACAGGGGTTTCCACAAGTAAATACTGAATCCATGATATTTATACAGGAGATGCCACAAGTATATACTGAATCCATGATATGCAGGTCAAGAAGAGATAACTCTGACATTGGAGGTAAGTATGGCAACGTTACTTATTGGTAGGGATGCCATGATACATCGATACTTTTTCAAAGACGATACAATTATTGATACATTCAACCCGCTGTGATGTTGCTGGAATATTGCTAAAAGCGGCGTAAAACCAAACTCAGTCAGTCAGTGATACATTCAAAACTGTATTGATATTTAGTTTTGAAAGTATCAGTTTAAATATGTTTATGTATCATTTACATTTTGCAATTGTATCCAGTTTTTTTATGTTATGAGAGTTATTATGATTATTTTTCATTTTCAAAGATGGGAAATTACAACTTTTTAATCTCTGAGAATAAAAAATGTTGATCTTTTCATGGACAATTATAAAATATGAAATATTAATGTTCAAAATGTAACTAAATTTATGTAATAATGCCGCGAAAATAGGTATCGTGATATATATCGAATCGCGACATGGGTTTTGTGATACGTATCGATTCATGAAACTTATGTATCATAACCCCTACTTATTGGATATGCTGAACTCATATATGAGAAGACAGGTGTGTGTCTTTGTACTTACCTCAACAAAACTGTATGGCCCCAGTCTTTCCTTGTCAGCATTTCCAAAGTACCACTCCTTCTCACTGTCATGTCTCATGTCAGGCGAGGCCTCGATCACATTACTCTAGAAAACATAACATGGAATTTTCCACTGTTAAACAATGAACCATGTTTGTCCAGCAAAATTGAATACAGATGGGCTACAGCAACATACATCAACAAACCTTACACTGATGTAAAAAGTACTGAAACAGTTTCACTCACATCACTCTCTGCCCCATTGTGTATTCATGCCCCATCTCTGGTTACTTATTTTGTATCAATGTACTGTTTGGGAAAGGTACTCAGAAACACGGCATAGGGCAAAGAAATAAATCCCAGCAAAAGTGAAAACATAAGACCTAGAATACCTTTCAGTCAGCACTGCTATTTAACAAGGGCCTAAAATAACTTTCAGTCAGCACTGCTATTCAACAAGGACCTAAAATACCTTTCAGTCAGCACTGCTATTTAACAAGGGCCTAAAATACCTTTCAGTCAGCACTGCTATTCAACAAGGACCTAGAATAATACCTTTCAGTCAGCACTGCTATTCAACAAGGACCTAGAATACCTTTCAGTCAGCATTGCTATTCAACAAGGACCCTAAAATACCTTTCAGTCAGCACTGCTATTCAACAAGGACCTAGAATACCTTTCAGTCAGCACTGCTATTCAACAAGGACCCTAAAATACCTTTCAGTCAGCACTGCTATTCAACAAGGACCTAGAATACCTTTCAGTCAGCACTGCTATTCAACAAGGACCCTAAAATACCTTTCAGTCAGCACTGCTATTCAAATATTTTCTTCATAAACACCCGAGAAAATGTATTACTCCATTTGCACAGTCTGCAAGAACGAATGTACTATATTATAACACTGTTTCAACACACAAAAACTTACATTTAATTTTAATTTTAACTTTGGGGTATATTATACTTTTCAAGAAAATTATTATGTCTTTCAGTGGCATTTAGAAGTTGTACATTGATGTCCAAGATATGGTCAACAATGGTGAAAACAAGCATCTTAGGCACTGCATGATGGATGACTGATTCTGTATATGCCCATCAGTATACAGACAAAAGGAAATATATGGAACCATTTCTAATGTTCATCGTGTGAGGTGGTGCAAAATCCTTTAACATATGGATCCTAAAAACGTTTCATAGATACTTCATCTTTAACCTAAGAAAAGCATCATGCAAGCAAAACTGTGGTCCCATTTCAACACTCCACATGTCAAGTTAACTCACATGTGTTTTGTATGATCAGCACTCATTGAAGTATATATCAAACAATGTTAGTGTTTATATATGGCTTACAGAAAAAACACATTTTGCTGAAATATTCAACAGATATTGATCAAAGCTATCATCAAGAAACCAGACTCATTAGAAACATTAGAATAATCAACAGGGTCTTACAGATAACCTTTCGAATACTTTCTATATAGCAAACTCATCCTCCTATACAATGTTCAGTTTGCTTCATATATTCAATGCTTAAACACAGAGTAAAAACCTCTTGCATGAAGAGTGACTGTTGTTAGATGTGAGGACTTCCTTCTTACATTCCATAGAAGTGTGGTGACTAGTTCTGTATCATCCGTACAAAACATTTTGCCACTGCACAACTACATACATGCTAATATCTTGCCATAAGAGGCATCTGGTCACACTGGTTACACTACCTGGAGAAGACAGGTGGAATCACTTCAGGAATGTTTGCTGAGTTCTGACATCTTCCAGAAATATTGTTTTCATCAATCTGTTTTGAAATCAAACTTGCAGTTTTATTAACTTTTTGTTTGCTACAACAATGGTGCTGAGATATGATATTTTCATGTTCTGAGTGCAGCCAGCTTCCATGTTCATGGTCCCCATACTTAGGGGTGAAACGATAGGCTCTTACGACGGTACGGTACGTATAGAACCATTCTTAATGAGGCCTCATGAATATTCATATCTGTACCAAAACGAGGCTTAATTGGGCAAGGACACAATCGCATAATGGCGACAAATCTCAATGTATACTTCCTGGTTTCAAATTTCCCTTGAACGGTACATTACGAAACTGTCCAGTAGTTCAGGGAAATCGCAGAGAAATGGGAAAGGTCTACACAAATGTTTCTGTAGGATATCCAAGGATTGAAGAGTGAATAATTACTGTACATCATGACACATCACGATAAGTCATATGACCTAGATATGTAGTTTAACGTTTACCATGGTGTGCAGCATTTATGAAGGGGAGCTACTCTAAAGTCACAATAGTGGAAATATTACCAAGGGAAGTCAATCACGTTTACTTTATCAACATATGAACAAAGCAAAAGACTCAACGTATTTCCTGACCTGGATTCAAATCATCCACTTCCACATGGGAGTAGTGTTGTTAATTCTTGAGCTGCATAATCGAGATTATAAGTAATATGTAGATCAAGATAGCTCTCCTCGAGTGGATCTGGACCAAACAAAATTGTATTATTCATGTGATGAAATTATTTGTTTGGTAGTTTTTCTGTTTTGTCCTATCGACTCTGTTTTATAGATATAGGGTATTTATTCACGCCTTTATTTTCAGTTGTACCTACTGGTAATGGCGATGTGCGCGTAACTGCATGTTACAATCGCAGAGGAAAAACGAATCGACACATCATCATGTAGAAACTATTTATTTCAATCAACATGAGTTCTTTCTTGACTGATTTGGAGGTGAATAATTATTTTACCTAAATGGACTCATGGTACCTGCATGGGGAATATTTGAACCAAATTTCAATACTGTGTTACTATACCATAATATTTATTTATTGTAGGCCTGGTGTATTTATTCTGTACCACTGTAACTGAAGACCTTTTTAAGGAGAACATATTATCAGGTTAACATAACAGGATTCACACTGCAGCAAACAATTAACCTAAATAAATAACAAACACCTTGAGTGCAGTTAATAAAAATTTATTCTGAAATGGTGTCTTAAAAGTCCAATAACAATAGACACATTCACAATAGCTTCCAACTGTAACACTGATGAATAACAATAAAATTTTCAGAGGATGCAAATTGAAAATATATTGGGTGCAATATTTTTGTTGATAGAAATATCTTTTTAGATTAGTCTGACATGAATGCCAACAATTACAGCTGGATCAATTCATAAGTTATCATAGTTTTCTCCCCTTACACATTATCATAATCTCTTACCTGTTTTTTCTGGTTCCCAACTAACTCTTTTCAAACAGGATGAAATACATTCTTTTTCATCAATTATTAATTAAACAGCAGCAAATGAGTTACATCTACAACTATGCCATTATGAAATACCTTTCTATTATTCAGTTAAATCCATCAATGTGTATGTATTACAGCTGTCTCTTTTTTCATTCATCATTTACACAACACAAAAGCATGAAACAATTTCATTTACATTCATGTCTGTCAATTCTTGTGCTGTTTGGGCAAGGTACTTCACAAAACCTGGGAAGATATTCAACAAATGAAAAAGTTCCAGCTAATTAGTGCCAATGTTTGAAATGATGGAATACTGTAAAATGTTCAATCAATTTTTATCATCATAAATGAATTTACAAACAATTTTTTTATGGAGTTCTTCTATGTTGGACTGGGGGTCAGTGGCTGCTGTATCACTCTCTGCTTCACTGTAATATAAGCATTGTAAAGCATCACTATTATCTTTTCGACCACACAAACAATAAATATATCTCTGGAATTACAAATATACATCAAGGAGTAGAGGCTAACATTATTTCATATTTTAGACAGTATGGGCAATCAATATTTTTATATGTAAATAACATAGCATCTCTGGAATTACAAATATACATCAAGGAATAGAGGCTAACATCATTTCATATTTTAGACAGTATGGGCAATCAATATTTTTATATGTAAATAACATAGCATAATAAAGTTCAGTTGTAATAAATTCCTTAAAACCATGTCAGTTGGCAAAATTAACTTAATACGATCTGACATTCTTACTGTATCTGAGATGGTGACTGTGGTAGCTTCATTGTAATACTTTTCACGGCAGATCTAGACTATGCCATGTGCCATAATTATTTTGTACTTACTATGAATCATTTTCCAGGATCTCTCCGTATTTTCGTCAACCACTGCCTTCTTCTGATCTTATTCTTGGGAATATGGTGAAAAGATACCGTAAAATCCTTACGGGCATCACTCCAACGCAAAGGCACACAGCAGTAATCTTTCCTTTTCGAGGTCGCCATTTTCAAGGTTGGGTCAACCTATTTAAGCCTCGCTTTCGACGTGACCTCGAGGTCATGCATATTGGCTAAGAATGGTCTATTGCAGTACAAGGCCTTCGGTTCGGTCCATTTCGGTTCGGTATATGAGACATTATCATAATGCAGAAAATTGACAAGAGGCAAAACCTTACATTGTTTAATAACATGGGAAACAAATGACCATAGTCTTTGTTATTTTGAATGAACAAAACTGTCATTTCATGACAAGATAGAAGAATTAAAGTATCACTGGAACCTTGGAGCTCACAGCTGTGTGGCAAAATAGCAAGTATACGTAGCCAAGTATGATTAAAAGTCACTAAAATCACATCAACATTTACTGCAGTGAAATCACCACATCCCAGAAAATGTTCATGCTTAAAAAACACTAAAAACAATACACAAATAAGATCTTGTCAAATGTGACTCTGTTGATGACATATCACATAAAAATAAATTTAACTAATTAACTCAACACAGTTGTCATAAGACAGTTAAAGTCTGTGTGACAGATGATTGTCCTTGCTCTAAATTATTGCCTATCTCTCATTTCAGTCGGTTAAACATTTTGAGACTTTCCACAGTCCTTGGGAAGTACTGCTACACAATCTTGGCACATTCCAGAATTTTGTTTTTGTTCAGTTTTCAGATTCATTCAAAATATCTCTTAAAGTTCAGGCAGAAATGTATTTCTCCTTTCTGAAACAAACATGTTTTAGCTTGAGAAAGCTGCTTTCTCTTTTTATCGGTTGTTTAATTTTCATTTCTCTGATATAGCTTGCAATGAGATGGTAGCAACAACAAAC